TGCAAGTTATTCACATGGGAGCAAGCAAGTACAATTCCAGTAGGTAGAGAAAAATTTATGTTCGGTGCCGTTGCAACAAGTGTTATGGCTAAGTAATAACAATAAACAAAGAGCCAAAATGACTTTCTCACAAGCTCAGCACTATATAAATGACTATAACCCATATCAATTGCCCCTTTCCCCAATCATAACCATTAAGCGCTTTTGAAATACGATCAATTGAAAAACTTGAAAAAAAAAAATAAATGACACACCATAACACTAAAGTGACGCCAATTAATTTTTGATTTCTTCACTTAATTTCACAGATGTTGGCGCGAACACCGACAATCGACACNCACGCCACATGCCGTCAGTGGACGCGCCGTCAAAATGGCTGCCAGTCTGCCAGATGTGGTCGACTCGGAGAATAGCGCTTCAACGAACATACAAAACGTGTTGGCAGCGCCGCTGGTTCAGTCCGCCTCGACGCGAACCGCCACTGTTAGCGCGTCAACTACGTATCACCGCGGCAGTGGCAGCAGCAATCGTAACAGCACGTCCTCGCACATAAATCACAAGAGTGCAACCACATTTGCGCATTCGCATGCCAGTAGTCACATTAGCGATGGCGTTGGCATAAGTGACACAGTTATGCTGGACACGTCCGCACCGGCTGCCAACGGTGATATCGATGCCGACGCCGATGTAGAGGAAAAATTGCTGCCCTTCCAAACGGTGATCTATCACAACACCAAGGAAGGTCATGGCCCGCAATCTCGATCGATATCGTACAGCTCGTTATCGCAAAATGTCGATGATTTGCATACATGGCGGCACTCGGGCATTTTGGCCGAAGCACAACGCAATGTCAGCGAGAGCTTAACGCCTATAACGCGCGCGGAGTTGGCGCACACCTCGGAACCGGCTAAGTTCTATTCCGTGCCATCGAAAATGTACAGCGAACCGTCAAAGTTTTACTCAGAGCCAGCCAAGGTTTACTCCGAGCCGGCTAAAGTTTACGGTGAGCCCGAGAAATTTTATTCGGAACCTGCCAAGGTGTATGGACAACCATCAAAGTTTTATTCCGAGCCGGCGAAAGTATACTCACAGCCATCCAAAGTCTACGGCGAGCCAGCAAAAACGTATTGGTCTCCAAGTGCCGGCGTGCCTATCGTAACTACTTCCACCACAACCACTAGCACAACCAGTACATCATCAAATTCAACAACAACAACAACGGTCCGACCGGGACGTTACATGCCTTCACGTCGTCCGGCGATCGTGTCACGCATTGCTTTTGGTGAGGCACAAACTTCCACAACAGCAACACTTGCCATCGACGAACACGCACCAGCAACAATGCCAGTTCCCACTGCTCATCATCATCATCAAGAACACCACGCGCATCACCAGCCGCAACACACACGTTTTCATCCACATGCCCATAGTCATGGTGCGCAAAATTCGCCGCATGGTGAGCATTCTACACATGGTTCAGCGTATGCCCACTCGCATTCGGCAACAGCATCGCAACCTGCTCAACCGCAGTCACAATCACAGTCACATTCAGCGCAATCGCAGCCACGTCGTGTACTCTTCAACTTAGATAAATTACCGTATGATTTATTGAATGCCCCAGTACAATCATCGCAACATCTCTTGAATCCCGACTTCTCGCACAGCCCACCAGCGGCTGTAACCTACTCGTCGCCCAGACAACGTCAATGCCTGGAGTCCGCCTTCTCAGCGTCACTGTCTCAATCAGCCTTGCAACAGCAACAGCAACTGCAGCAGCAACGTCAACATTCATCATTGTCGGACCAACATTCTAATCAAAATGCCAAAGGATTGCCTAATGGAGGTGAGTACGAAAAACGAAGTGCTCATCGCCGACAAAGTGCAGCCTTTGTAGTGCTTGTGCTTTATTATACATAGTAGTATTTTATGGAAATGTGTGTATATTTATGGCTCAGATGGTTTAATTTATGTTAAACGTTAGCGGTGTAAATGTTTGGACTTGGTTATAATCTTGCATTTCGGCAGTTGTTAGGTTAATGATGATGTTAGTTATTGGTGAGAAGAGCCAAAATATTTTATGGTTCCAGAGACAATGTGACCACTGAAAATGCGCCTTTGTAGACAATATCCCAGTATGTGATTGCTAGTGTATTTTACCTAATATTCGCAAGATATGGACATTCGTAGTAAAAATGGTCGACAATTTCTTTTCTATCTTATATTTAACAGCTGCGGCAGAGAAGTCCTATTCCACTTGCATGTTTGCCGGGTGATCGTCTATGCGGGGGATATTTTACTGTTAGTAGCGATAGATTTCAGATTATTATTGGACACTAGAAGTTGGGTGTCTCACCCAAAGTTATTTCCCGGTTCTATGAAACCATAGCTAAGCCTATTATGAAGGCTTTGTCTGGTAGAGTTCACTGCAGAAGACTGCACTAGTCAGAAGGCTGGAGCGAGTGGGGAACTTAGGACAACCCTCAACTTGGCTTTCGAAGTTATGCTTAACATAACGCCTGTAGATATCGGAAGGGGACACCAGTGAACTATTATACCGAAACTTGGCGGAAAGGTCGGTGGACAGATCTTTTCCAAGGAAGTCTCTATCTACCTTAAGTTAAGGCTCCCAGATCACGTCAATGTTCACCAATTAAATTTTGCTGCTATTGCGAAAGCAGTTGGTTGGTTGCTGATGTGGGTTATGGCTACTCAGACTCAAACAGCCAGGCGGCTTGCGGAGGCCCGGACCCGATTATGGCGCACTTGAAGCCTGGCCATAGTGATATCGCATGAAAATGCTGCTGTGAATTGTGCTGTCAAGAAGATACCATCAAGAAAATAAAGAGTGAGAGTTTCCTGTGGCTCGACAATCTACAAGGTCTCAATGTTTGTGGGTCTATTGATAGTAAACTTTCCGATTGGGATTCTCGAAGTGAGATTAAATACAACACCTGCACCTTTTGGTTGCAGCAGCATGGTGGCTGGCGAGGTGGAAGCATTCTAGAATTTTCTCTTAGACTGCCGAGCTTGGGTAGACTGCGGTTTAGACACCTGAGATGGTACTTTCTAATCGGTCCGGAGCAGCTCTTTGGTACCAAGATCTGCCGCCTAGGAAACTTCGTTCTCGTCACGCAGCGATTTTCGCTATAATTTAGCAGTTTCCGTTCGTAGTGCTCACGGTCTTAGTTTGCCCCCTGAATTGGGGCAACCACCTAAAGCCAACCTAACCAAACCCGGCTTGGGGGCTAGTTCTAGGGCCAGTAGTTGCCACTATTATGACTACCACTGTTCTTGATGTATTAAACAGATCCGATATGTGTTTCCTTTTTTTATAGCGCGGCAAGAGACCCTTGATATCTTGCAAGTACACATGTCTGACCACCTTTTTTTATCCTATTCAGAGAAAGGCAGTTTAATTACCCTTTGGATTATTCTAAGAGACCATCCCGTGCCACCGTTTCAAATTCAAATGAGGAGGCTTTTTCTAATACCACTGCCTGCCTCTCGGAATATATATATTTTAAGATGTATCATTTTCAGTGGTACAGTGGTAAGCAGTGCGCGCTCCCACTCCGCAGGGCCTGGGTTTAAGCCTTGGTCAAAGCAACATCGCAAAAAAAAATGTAGAAAAAAGAGTATTTCTGCCATGAAAAACAGATTCTCATAAGAATACCATCGCCGTTCGGTGTCGGCGTTAAACTCTAGGTCCCTCCCCTTTGTTTGACAACATCAAGGCGCACGCCACAAATTGGAGGAGAAATTCGGCCAAGCACTAACATATGTTTAAGCGCCAACCTATTATCAGCATAGTTTTCAAATATACCTAAAATTTCGGCTTAGAAGATATTTACCTCTACACCGCAGTCCATCTGGATTTGTAGGTGTGGAAAATAACCACTTTACCGGCTGCTCGATCTCTTCTCCATTCTCTTCTGGTTGGGAATCTCACTTTTACGTAACTACTGAAATCTGGTTTGGGGGTGATAGAGTCGATCGTCTTTTCAAATTTACATTTCACTAATAATCCATCCATGCTCGCACTTTATTGTTATCTACGGCACTTGTTGATCAATAGATATCATGTTAGGCTTAGCGCTTCCCTGAAGTATATGCCATCATTTTAGGGATTTGAAGAGGTTTACAAATTGTCGGTGTCATATGTAATCTTTAACCTGTCCTCGATCAATTCAAGAATGCCTTGGCTGTCGATCCAGGTACATGCGATCCTGAATTAGCTGGATCGCGAAATTAGGCCAATGTCTCCAAACAGTCGTTTTCAATTTTCCCCCTTTATAAGTAATACATTTGTGTGTTATATCTTAACGACTTAACTGAACCTGACTTAGTCTGTGGAGCTTTCTATAGAAGAACAGTTAACTTGCCACAGTTTTACTTTAGCTTTTATTTATTTTTTGTGTGATTTAGAAGTCTTTTGTTAGGCACTCGGTTTTTCTTCTAAAGAAATCATTGAAAATTTACCTAATAGTTATTTACACTTTGAGCTAAAAGATCCCTTCACATTTTCGCGGCATTGAATTTGGCCGATATTTCAAATGCTCACTTTTCGCCTCTTCTATATGATTTACTCTGTTATCAAGGTTTTCTCTTGTTGCAATATTCTTCTCATATTGGAGATCATAAAGGGATTATAATGCGGTATGCTCGAACCGACGTAATGCTATATCTAGGATATCTGTACTTCCTTAAGCCAGTTAGTTTTTTAATTTCACTCCAAATCCTGTTTTCTGAAGTTGGTAGGGTAAACAAATTTTTAGCTTCCTTATTAAAGTGCCACGTTTTTGAATCGGGCAACAGGTGAAAGATCATTTACAACTATCCTTGCATGGTGCCTATTCCGTCTGCAAAAACAAGTCTTCTTTTCATTCCTTAAAATCAACGATTATTCTCGTTGTGGTAGATATCTCGTATCCTTCTTAACTTAAGCCTAAAACTCTTACCATTGCCCATTTTGAATGGCTCGGTTCATAGTGTTCTTGTAGTTTTGTTTTGAAAAAATCTATGACAGTGGCAAGTTATTTGTCCATAAATGGCTTGATTGTGGATCGTCTTCTACTACATATACGCAGCTGGTCAGGCCAGGGAAGGAAAAATCTGGGCACAACTATCAACACACTGACATTCTTGACAAACTTTCTCGGGTGGACAGAAGTAACTGGCATAGTATAGTATAGGGGTAATAGAACTACGAAGTTAAGTAACAACGTACACCTCAATAATATTTTAGAGGGGTTCCTTTTGAGTGAGTCAAAAACCTTAGCCAATCAGCATTCCTATTGGGTATGGAAGACCGTTTCCAGCTGAATTGATGAATAAGTACCAAATTTAAAGTTGTTTTATGGCACAAATTATTTCCAATTAACCACTGCATTTTTCAAATTTATGTATTTCTGCCAAAAATTCTGTGTACATATTTTGTTTTATTTTTGTTTCTTCTTTTCCATGCTACACTACCCAAAATGCAGATCTAGTCAAGTGTGTTTCCAAATACAACCAGCCATCGGCGGCAGCAGCAGCAGCAACGCCAACGGAGAGTAGCCATCATGGCGGCGACGACGATGACTTGTATACGCCGACCCCAGAGCAAAATTACGAAATAGAAGAATCCGTAAGTGTTATGACAAACGGACGAGCCCACGGTGTACAAGGCAATTCAGCGGCGACGACAACAGCAAAGCCATACCGCGGTGGGATACACCATCAACAGCAGCAGCAGCATCACTATCATGGCAACGCCAACGCAAATAGCAATTTGGACAACAATTACGATGACAATGGTGGTGGCGGAGACGATGGTATTGATACGGATGGCAGCAAAACTGGCAACGAAGACGAGGATGCCAAAGTGGCGTATGTAGTGGAGGGACGCAACTATCGCAAGTATCGCGTGGAGGAGAAGACGGACGATGGTTTTATTGTTGGCGAGTACGGCGTGGTGGACCATAATGATGGAAATTTGCGCGGCGTGCGTTATACCGCCGATTCGACCATCAATCGCAGTCTGATACAAAAGGCGTTGTTGACATTTCTTAAGCTCAAGTAGTCAAATGGGCTTTGAGAAAAAATGTTGGTAAGACGACATTGTTGCAAAGAGGTGTATGGCGTTTGGCGTTTGACGAATGGTGTGTGGTGAGTATTGAATGTTTGGTCAGTTGGCAAGCAGATAGCGCATGGCGGATGGCGTGGTGACAGGCGACTTTGCAAAGGTGGCAATGTGGTGTGAGTGCGCAGGCGCCAAAGATCAGCGTGTACGACTGCAAGCGCATCTCCAACGTAAGCGAAAGAGATGCGAATTGCTGCCGCGCATGATGTGATCACCGAAATTATTGAGCGCTTTGCGAAGTTGTGCTTGGAGACGATTTGGCGTGTATGTGCGAACTGAAATTGAAACCGATGCCAACGACAACGCCAACGTCTATGCTAATGGCGATGCCGATGCCGATACCATGGCGGTTATGTGCGCCCATTGTAGACACAGTGTCGTTGAACACAAAGTATTTCTTGTCTATTCCTTGTGAATTGTTTATTTTTATTTTTTTGAATTTTTATTTTTATGTTTTGTACTTTTGTTTAAACCCCATTATTTAGACAAGCTAAAAATATGTGATCCAAATCGTACTGTAGGTAGTTTAAAACGAATACACCACTACATTTGTATGTATATAAAAAAATAGTTTGATAAGAAAATTGAACACACAAACACACTAGCTCGCTTAGGCACAAATGCAGACACACTCACACAAATACATTTTAAGTGTACTTACGTAAGTGCATACATACCTACATATTTATATTTACAATAAGTAGTTAGAAGATTCTTGTAACTAGCGCTCCTTTTTTAACTATAGCTTATGAAACTACAGCAATGCGCATTGATTGCAATCGATTGTGAATATAATTTATTATATTTTTTTTTTTCATATTTATTTTTAACTATGTATTGTCTAGGTACGTATGTATGTACACTTAATGTACCTGCATACATATGCATGAGCACACATATGTATGTATGTATGTGTAGTGCATGAGCACACGTATGTATGTATGTATGTGTAGTTTTAATGGCTTAGTCTACGTTTTTTTTTAGATATGTTCAGTGATTTATTGCAGATGAAAACCACTTGCCATACATTTACGTATCAAAAGTAGAGTAAAAAAAACAAAAAATGTAATTTTAGCTGTAATTGTTGTTTAGCAAAAAATTTTATATCTTACATATATGTATCATAATTCTGCTAAGTAACAGCGATACATGTTTATTAATACTCATTTGCAACTCCAGTATGTCGATATTATTTTTCATGGACTTAGTTTATATTTTGTTTTAAACCATTGGGAATGCAATGACTAGGTACGCAGTTAAACATAGGTAAATTTTTAAACATACATATATATTCATTAACCCTGTACTGTCCAATGACATATAGACGACCTATCCGTAACAAAAAAAATAAAATGTAAAAAAAAAAATAAAATAAAAAATGGCAAAGAAATAAGTTATTATAGACCGAAGAAACCGATGATCCATTGTTTTTCATATACAGTATATCGCCGCTTGGCGCGCAATACCTCGTATACACCAAATGCAATACCACGTTTACGATAGTCCGAAAATTTCACAAAAATGCAAATAAACTTATATTCTTCTAAAGTTTTGAATAGTTTTCTAACTGAACTTATTTAATATGAGCTTATACTGAAATTATGACCATTAAATTTGCGAAGTAGGGAAGCACAGGGAGACAGGGTATCGAAAATAATTTTTTTTCTCAGCCACCTCATACGTGGTATTGCATTTGGCGGATACTTTAATTTTATTTGTTATTTTTCTTAAAGGTATGGTTCATGCTTTGATCGAAACCATATAAATCAAGCTTTTAAACTTTATACAGAGCTTAGAAAAATTTAACAAATTTTCATTAAAGTTTTGAGCTTTATAATGAGTATGCAGTTTTAGAGCCCATTAAATTTTAAGCAACTGCAAAATCGGGCTGATTTCTGATATTTTTTTTTGCTGACGGCAGATTAAAAGGCTCAAAACTTTAATGAACATTTATTAAATTTTTGTAAGCTCTGTATAAAGTTTAATAGCTTGACTTAAATGGATTTGGCTAATGCATGAACCATATTTTTATGAAAAAAGAATAAACAAATGTTTTACTACAAACCTTGCAAATATTTAACAAAAATCACAATGCACTCATTTCTGCTCCCCACTGTAAAAGTAATTCGAATAATATCAAATCTTGAATACAACGGGCTGTTGATATTTGTGTGGAGAATTGAATAGTACGAATACATTAAAAAAAAAATTAATGTTTTCCAAAGCAGTCAAAAATTTCTGGCAGAATTTTTTTTCCCAAATGGGATGTGAATGGGTTAACTTCTCTTGTTTAATAATGAATTTATTTTAGAATTAATTTTGCAGCAGTGCCCTAGGAGTGGTGGAAAAATGGTAAGCCTATTCAAACAAAAAAATTAAACTTTGCTTTTTACAGGCCAACCTAATATTCACGCATGCCGGCAATTATCTGTCAAAAATTTCACGCAATTTGTATGAAACCAACCGTTATTAAACGACGTGCGTAAAAAGCATGAGATTCCGATTTGATGTGTCGTTTAGTAAAATGCCAGCCTATATTGGGTGGCGCACAAAAAAAAATATACGGAGTGCGGATATGAACGGTACATCCCATTAATCAACGTTTATGCTGCTGAGATAAGCAATGCTGTTTTAAATCGCTCTTTTTGAAGGTTCACATGCAAATACATTTGGCCGATTAAGAATTTTTGGCAAAAATTAACAATATTTGACAGTTAAGAGACCAAATAATTTGAAAGAAAAATAAAATCAGCTGATCTACAGCTATTATTTACCAGCTTGTTATGCCTTGCTCACCGCTAAAACTCATTGAGAACTTGTTCCGAAGGTTTTTGATGGCATCAAGTGCCCTGAAAGGTCTTAATTGCTTACGTTCGCAAAGTTGCTAAGTCGCAAAGCACTCTAGTAAGCCACCTTATAACTGTAATTGTACCCACTGCTTCCCTTGGGCAGGTGAGCATAGCTCTAGTAATGACTACACAGACTTAGCGGTGCAACTTCCCCAGATAATCGGTTTTATCACTGTACTGAATGACTAAACATCATTCGATTATTTTGTTTTAATATTTCGCCTCTTGCGATAAATAAATCTCCGTCTCTCCTAACGTGGGCTTAGTCAAAATAGTAATTACTATTTTAGTGAAGACGACTATTAAGGACTTTCGAGGGTTTCATACCATCTTTTCGCAGTCAATTTTAAGGCTGCCTGCAAGGAATCGTATCTTCAAACGAGCCCACCAAGTAGATGATTAGATCATCCGCATAGCCAAAAGCGTTGAATCTGTAAGACTTGTACATAAAAATCCACCCTATACTTAACTGGCATCGAAGATGTTAATTCTTACCTGGTATATCGCTTGCGAGAAGAATTAAATAACTATTGAATTTGTAAATTTAGATAGCAAGCAGTGATGACAGTTAAGTCGCCGAGATGGGTGCCAACATCAAAAAGTAGTTTTTGTATAAAATGTAGGGAGGTCGTATTGAATATAAGCCCCCGATATACAATGAAATGTCGCTGAATGCGCAAAAGGCTATCTGCTTATACCGCAATTAATTTTTCAATAACCTGAGTCAGGCATATTGCAGTAATATTTAGTAGATTTCCCCGCTTGAATAGTATGCTGAATTTCACAAAAAGGCTTAACCTTTAAGAGCGTACCCTTGATGTGGAAATCAAGGAAATTTTTCTAAGGTATGGTCTGTTCATTTGGGACATTTCCTGAGTAGTTGCCCGTATTAGGCATGAATATAACCTTTAACAACTTCCATGATGATGTCGGTGCGAAAGCAGTAAACTTCCCAAGATATTCTAACTGATGGTCCAGTGATTGTACTTGCATTCTGTTATAAAATTATGTACATAGGTAATTCATTTGGACCAAAAGATTTGCGACAGTAGCTTTTAGATATGACTTCTCTGTTTATCCTCGGCTGGGCTCAAATGAACGGAGTAGCAAAACCTCAACTGCCTTTGCTGCTGGGAGACGGAGAGTTATCGGAATCTCAGGCTTAAGCAGTTGGATCTCTCTACTATACCTCCACATGTGAGAACTGATAAAAGTGGCAATTGACATGTTGTGGAATTTGGTGAGATTTTCTACCGCATTTAAGCACAATGTTTCCGCTAGAATCAGTGGCTTTGAAGACTTATTACTTATTGAAAACCTCATGAACAACGCCGCACTAATTTTTGGCAGTTTGTGCGGCCTTCTGATCACGTGTTGTTGAATATTCCATTTAGATTCGACTGTAAAAAATTTAGAGTTCATTTTTGAGATATTCAAAATCATTTTAATTAATGAACGATGGCTTATAAATACGTTGAACAAACTCAAAATAGTTAAAAGAAAACGAAAACGTGGATCAAAAATTGGGGTTCTAGGATATTGCTCATGTTGCACAATTCTCAATATTTCAATGATATTTTTTCGTGTAAAATAAATAATACTTAATAAGATATCGTCGACTTGTAATTGCAGATTTTTATTAAGTAAGTTTTAGGGAATAAATAAATAAATAACAAAAAAAAACTTTCGAACAGCAATTGTAAATTGCAATATTTCCTACAAAAGGTATGAAATGCTACCTTGAATTGTTCCTTTTTAACAGAATGAAAAAAAAAAAACTAAAAAAAATGAGCACAAATTAGTATGTATACGCAAGAACTTCTTGAGAGTTTTAAAATAAGCTCTTATTTATTTATTTAAACTATATATTAGTTTGCTTGCAAGTAATTTAGCGTAAATTTAGTATAGCAACCATAACGCATACACAGTTGAATTTGTAATTAAAGGCAGTTATCAGTACTTATTATTTTAATATATTAGTAAAAAAAATAAATAATTTATGTAGTCTAAATATCCGATTGAATTATGTAAATATTATTGTATATACTTACATATATGAATATTAATTTACTATTGTTTGTGTCTAAATGAATAAAGTCAATGCCAAGATGATATATTACGAATAATTGCAAAATAAAAGCAAAAGCGACAAACCACAACAAATGGTGTTCTTTTTATATATTTTCATTGGGTGGTGCACTATTGGTAAAGGAGCTCATTCTATGGCCAAAAAACTTATATTAAAGTATTTTAAATTGCAACCCTATTAATGGTTTTGTAAAATAGCCACATGTGGCATGACAAAGCAAAACATATGTTTAATTTGTAACGAAAGATCACAAAGATACAGTCCCTTGAACTTATAATTAAAAAAATATATATATTTTTTAAGCTGTGCGATTTTGCGCCTAAATAAAAAAAATTTATTGCTTTTTTTACAAGTGGAAAACGGTATAAATATGGCGAATTATATCTACAGTAGTATATCAACAGTAAGTAAAAATATTAGTATTAAATATTTTCCGCCAACTACTAAAGGTTTGAAGAACATATTATTTCCTTGGAAAAGTTTATTTGAAAGAGAAAAATACATAAAACTCATTTATTATAGTGAAACAAAAAAGTTTATTCTCAAACACATTACATAAAACAAATATATGAGCCAGGAACATCGATTCCCAAGACACGTGACATAAGTCTTTTCCAGCCGTTTGACTTCAGTGGTCATTTACCTATATCTGA